ATGAGAACATTACAACAATCACACCTACACACTGAGGGGGGTCAATTTTAGATCAGCAGATAGCTAAGATGGAGGATTTTAATAAAATGGAGTTACTTATGTCAAGCAAGCTATTGCAATTATTTTATATATTTCATTAGCTATTTCACTATCATAGGTCGTAGAATAATTAAGACCAAACCTTCTCATGCTAGCAAACCATAATGGTAAGATTTGTCCAGATGCCTGAACATATTTTGAAGATAATACTTGTAGGATGTAGATGGGAGTATGGGAAATAGAGAGGAGTTAAGGGTGACTCCAAAATTTTGGCTTGGACAACAACAAAGCTAGAGTTGCATGAAGTAAGATGGGGAAGGCTGCATGTCAGTGGAGCAGGGTTAGAGGTGGAGATCCCGAGTTCAGCTTGGGGCATGGTGAAAATGAAATGTCTTTCTGGATTCTAAGTGGAGACAGGAGTAGAGAGCTATTCTGTAGTTCAGATAAGAGGTTCAGGTAAGAAGTATATGCTAGGCATTTATCAGTTTTACATAAAGTCATTAGTCTACATGAGATCACTTAGAGAGATGCTCAGCTACAAGCCCTGAGGCACTACAATGTTACAAGCTCAGGGAAATGAGAAAGAGGAAACAGCTAGTGAAGACAGAGGAGAACTAAGAGAAAGTGATTTCATGGAGACAGAGAGAAAAAAACATTTCAAGGGGGTGAGATGATCAAAAGGTTCAGAGGTAAGAATGGAGTTGACCAGAAGAATGGAAAACATGAGGAAAAACAGTGATTTGGCTTGGGAGAGGCCTATTAAGAGTGTCTTCTATTGTTACTATTTTCTCTGTTTTTCAATACTCAATTAGGAACATGAAGCATTTAGTAGACTACCAACTATTCTCTGAGATTTAGAACTCTCTGACACATTTTATATCTTTTTTTTTTTTGAGTTGGAGTCTCACTCTGTTGCCCAGACTGGAGTGCAGTGGCCGCTCCCGGCCACCGCAGCCTCGCCTGCTGGGCTCTGGCGATCTTTCCGCCTCAGCCTTCCGAGTAGCCGGAATTACAGGCATACGCTACTATGCCCGACTGATTTTTTGATTTATTGTAGAGATGAGGTCTCGCTGCCCAGGCGGGTCTCGAACCCGTGGGCTCAGGCAATCCACTCACCTCAGCCTCCCAAAGGTGTGGTATTACAGGCTGAGCCACTGAGCCCAGCTACATTTTATATCTTAGCAATCATATGTTTCCCTGGTACACACACACAGTTCTTATTTATGCCAGTGCCTCTCTTTTTTTGTCTCTGTTAGGACTCACAAAATGATCATTAACTGAAAATTCAATGACCAAGTAGACAAAAAATGTGTAAAGCTCTCTTCCTTGTGTCATGTGTGCCAAGAACCAGTTGCTGTTCTGGAATTGGTTCTCATGGGTGGAATCATCCAACTGTAATGGGAGACATCTTTCTCTAGCACACTTGGGATAATACAATGTAAAAACCATCATGGTCAATCTGATAAAGAAATTTGGCTGATAGCTTATTCTCTGTTTTCTCTCCCAACATAATGGTTCTTACTATCATTTTTATGACTTCTCTGTAGTAGTGTGACTTGCAAATGTTTTTACTACAAGAAATGTAATTGTGCATAATGATTGTGTAGCCCTGGGTTGATTTCCATTTTTAATTGTCAGATTAATTGATTTCATCCTGGAAAGCATTAATTGTTACTTATTTTTAGCAAAAAAAAAGAAAACCTCACTCCATTTATCTGAGCAGATCAGAATATGATTTGAAAATATTATGCAATCAGCAACATCATCAACTTCACTTAGGGCAAATATACATGATTAAAAGCAATGTAGACTGGGAATGGTGTGCAAGCACTATACAAAAAAAAATTACTGTGGATCTAATATAATTATAATTTAGCAAATTGTTACTGTGTACCCAGTTAGCACCATAACGTTTTCCACTTGCTTTAAGACATAAAGATTGGACTGGGCATGATGGCTCATGCCTGCATTTCCAGTTTGGAAAGTCAAAGATTAAGGCTGTGGTAGCTGTGATTATGCCATGGCACTCTAGCCTGGGTGACAGAGTGAGACTCTGACTCATCAAAAAAAAAAAAGACATAAGGATTCACATGGGAGATTCTCATGTGAGTCTTGTCCACTATTTACCTTATGAGCTTATTTGGAGCTATTTTACTTCTGTTACTATTTTTATCATTGCTTTTTCACTTCAATGGACTACTGCAAGTCACCAATTTTTTTTAACACCCTGAAATTAAAATATAACTTGTTATAAAGGGAATAATATAAAATGAATATTTAACACGTGAGAGTAAACAAATACATGTAAATGATGTGAATATATATTAGTCCACAATAACTGTCCTCTGGTAAGGAAGTGAAGCTGAGGAAAAGTGTCAAGGATTATCTGTACCACGTGTGATCACAATTACTGAGAAAGGAAATAACTTTTTGGAAATCTTAAAATATTTTATAACTCAAATCTGTCAAATGTAAGTGATCAAAAAAGGTTTCATCATATTCCCTTCTAAAACTGACAAACCATCTAGTTTTATTACCAAAATGGTCCCAATTCCCTACTCCTCTCTCTGTCCATGCCTTTTACAATTGAATTTTTTGCTTCTTCCATCAACAGGTACCTTGTGGCTTCATTTGTTTAATAGCATGCGATGAAAATGACACTTTGATACTTTTGATCTTAGGTCTCCAGAGTTCTTCCTTGCTTACATTCACTTCCTTGGTCCTTTGGGAGTCCATGTTCAAAAGCACAGGCTAGTAAGCTGATGGATGAAAGATCATGTGTAGAAGAGACAAACGTGGCCATCCTAAACCAGCCAGACTCTGCCTATCTATCTGCTAGTTGATCATAGAGACATGAATGAGACTGAGCAAGGTCAGTCAAACATGGCCCAGATCAACCAAAATGTCCAGTTGACACACAGAACAATAATACATGCTTATTTTTTAAGTCATTGAGTTTGGGGGTATTTTGTTTTGCAGCACTGGTTGATTCTTCACCTGTCTTCTGTTTGATGACCCACATTTGAGAAACATCAAATGAGGGAGGAAATTCCACTAGGGTAGGATTAATGCCTCTATTTTCAACATTAGCTCTCTAATATCTAGACTAGGACTTCACACATTGTCAACACTTTCTGTGCACTTATTGAATGAATGAATTCATCAGCTCCCTGCCATCATCTCCAGCATCATCTTACATTCATATATTCTGAACATTACTATCATCTTTTTAAACTGACATTGAGTTCATCTCTCAAAATAAGAGAATATTTAACTTAGGGCTCTAAAATTAATGTTTAGTAAATACTGTGAGTAAACCATTTACTCAAAATAATTAAATGACCTGCAAACACCTTAATTATGATGACAATAGATGTCCTTTTTAACAAAAGGGTTTTTAACTGATGTATTTTTTTTAACATTGAATTAATGTAAACTGCAATGTTCCATCTTATTACTTGAGTAAATTTGTGCATGATCCTATTTATTTGTTGGTATTTATTATTCATTATTTATCATTATCATTAATGCTTAGGAAAATTTCATGAGGTCACCTTAGCAGTTATAATTGTAAACATTTATTGGCCACTCACATGTGATAAACATTGTGCTACTCTCTTTACAGCGAAATGCAGTGCTTTAAAAATGCTGTCAACATACTGAAGATGCCAAAGTTTATGTGTTTAATCCAGACTCTGTTGTTTAAACCAATTATTGAAACCAGTTTGAGTTTGAGCTTTTCATGCAAGTGAAAGCAACTTAACTAGAACAGATGGATGGTTTTTAGAACAAGACTTCTTGTGTTGGTCAACTTGCATATATTTTGGTAAAACATGGACAGAGTGATGTTTTCAATTTTTTATTTATTTTCCATTTACTACTTTCTTACCCCTGTGCCAAACTTTGCCTGTGTCGTTCTCTCTGAAGTGCTTTTCCCATAATGATGTCTTGAAAAATCTCTACTCAACTCTCAAGACCTAAAACAGATATCCCTTTCTCTTTTAGGATATTATCGTTTTGACATGGCCTAATTTAAAATAAATGACCCTAGGAATTCATTCGTTGTTTCCAGTAGTGGGAAAGTCATCAAAAAATATTTGCTTTTCTACTATATGCTAGGCATGTGCCAGGCGTATACAGCATGCACAATCCTTAAGGAGTTTAAAGAATATACACAGAAGTGAATCAGCAATTACAACATGGAGAGTCAAGTGTGGAGATGGGTACATACTGGGAGCAGCAGGAGTAGAGTGGGGGGAACCCCTAATCAAGTCCCTGGGGATATGGGTAATTGAGGTGAGAAGAGAATTCCAGGAAGAAGTGATGTCTACAAAGAAATTTAAGAACCAACAAGACTAAAACAGACAAGAAGAAAGAGAGAACATTCCACAAAGTGGAAGAGCTCATGATAACATTCAGAAGCATCAGTATCCCTCTTGGAGAACCGAACCAGATTGTAGATTCCAGAAGGAACATGGTAAGAGATGAGACTGGACTCAAAAGAGACAACCAGAGCAAGAGGAACATTTCAAGATTCACTAAGGAATGTGGATTATATCCTGGGAACCACTGGGAGAATAATTGTTTTGTGCTTTAGAAAGATCACAGGGACTGAAGAGAGGCTAAGTTTCTGGAGATGTCTGAGATGTCTTATTTTGGAGCAGACAAAGAACTAAAGATGATGGAAAAAGTAGCAATGGTGGGTCATTACATTTGAGTTTATCATGAACCTGTCTTTTGGGACCTGAAAGACTGCCTTATGTGACCAGAGTTCCATCAGTAAGATTAGTAATCAGCATGATGACAGTATCATGTAAACAATATTCCTAAGCTCAAATATGTATCAAAATTCAACAGTCATTTGCAGTTCTTCAGACCAACTCCAAATTTTGAATTTTAATTACCGTATCCATTGAAAACAGTGGAAATTGATGACAAAAGGCAATAATGTGTTCCTTTACCATCACATTTTATTAGCAGGATAATTTAGTAGTTACATGTCAGCAGTCTCCTAACATGGAGTGAGGGTAAGCAGAACATCCTCCCTCACAGTTTCTAGGCTACAGAAGTTGAACCTGTGGAGAGAAAACAACTGAAAGTCACGACTTCTTGGTATACATTTGAAGTGTAGAGCATGAGGACAGCCTCTGCTGTCCTCAATCTGAGTGAGGAGTATATCCTGTGCTTGAGATTGGACATTGATCAAGGGAAGACCTCATCTACTTAAAGAACAGATTTCTGCTTTCTAATGATATTGTATGGTTATGCAATAGTAGGGAGAGGAGCTGTCAATCAACACCTCAAAGAATAGGAAGGACTCGTTTGTCATGAGCAGTTACTGGACACTTAAAACAGGTCAAACAATGCAACTGCGGAAGAACAGTGTCACCAGCATGACAAGAAACCAGCCCAGTATAGAAAGTCTACGTCCTGGTGTTATGTGGGCTAACCATTCTTATTTTAATTCAATATTTGTATTTAAATGACTAGTTTTTCTTACTAATACTGAACAGTACCTAAGATGCTTTGGAGATAAGTTTCTTTAATAAAATATGCTAGCATATCTAAATCACTAGGCAGATGGAAAGTGCTCAGAAAATGCTTCCTCCTCCCCTTCATATTCCCTTGCTTCATGTATTCTGATGACTGGCAGGGTTGCAAATAGGAAATTAAAAGTTAAAACTAATACTTATAAAGGACACACAAAAAATAAAGGACACCCAATATCTATATATGATTAAATGTGAACTGAATTTGTTTTGTAGTAGCTAAGAACTTGCTGGAGGAGAAAAATAACTTGCTGGAGTCAAAATTCTGGCTAGTACCTTCATTTAATTATCTGTAAAATAAAGATAATAAACTACCTACCTCATAGTGTATACATTTTTATTTTAACAGCTTTAATGGGCTTTGATTTCCCTAGAATAAACTGCACATACTTAAATTGATAGTTTTTCTCACACATACACACAGCACACATACACCTCTGAAATCATCACCAAAATCAAGGTTGTAAATATATCTATCACCCCCAAATTGTCTTCCTACTTCTTTGTAATTATTTCTTCCCATTCCTTCCAATATTGTCTCCCCAATCAGGCAACCACTAATCTGCTGTTGCTATAGAATAGTCTGAAGTTTTTAGAATTTTATATGACTGGAATCTAAGGTGTACACACACTTTTGTCTAGCTTCTTTCATTCAGAATAATGATTTGCGATTCATCCATGTTGTTGCATGTATCACTAGTTCACTTCTTGTCACCTCTCAATAGTATTCCATTGTATGGATAAATCACAATTTGTTTATTCATTCCCTTTTTGGTGAGCATTTGGGTTGTTTCCATTCTTGGCTATTGCAATAAAAGTTGCAGTGAATAGTCATGTCTAAATCTTTGTATTAACTTATACTTTCTTGCCTCTTGGGTAAATATCTAAGATGAAATGGTTGGGTCATGGGTACGTGTATGTTTGGCTTTTCAAGAAACTGCCAAACTGCTTTCCAAAATGGTTGTATCATTTTATATTTCCATTAACAGTGTATGGCAATTAAAGATTCATCATATCTTCAACAATGCTTGGTATTGTCAATATTTTTAATTTTAGCCAATTAAATAAGTTTATGGTGGTCTCTCATTATGGTTTTAATTTGAATTTTACTAATGATTAAAGTATATCTTTTTCTGTTCTCTCACTTTGTGAAATATATTTGTGTTCTTATATTTAAAGTGCATTCTGTGCAGGATGAATACAATTAGCAACTGGTTTTTAAAAGTCTGATGTGATAATCTCTGCCTTCTAATTTTGAATTTAGACAATTGTAACTGAATATGATTATTGATATAGTTACATATAAATCCACTTTCTTTCTATTTGTCCTCTATATTCTTTGTTCTCTTTTGCCTTTTTTTTTTTTTTTTTTTTTTGAGTTGGAGTCTCACTCGGTCACCCAGACTGGAGTGCAGTGGCCGCTCCCGGCCACCGCAGCCTCAACCTGCTGGGCTCCGGCGATCCTTCTGCCTCAGCCTTCCGAGTAGCCGGAATTACAGGCATGCGCTGCCACACCCGGCTGATTCTTTGATTTATTGTAGAGATGAGGTCTCGCGGCCCAAGCGGGTCTGGAACCCGCGGGCTCAGGCATTCCACTCACCTCAGCCTCCCAAAGGCGCGGGATTACAGGCTGAGCCACCGAGCCCGGTCTTTTATCTATTTTTAAATTTGTTCTTTGTTTCATTTATCGCCTTTGTTGGTTGATTAGCAATAGTTCTTTGTTTCATTATTTTAGTGGTTGCTATAGATTTTATAGCATATATTTTTAACTTATCACATTATACCTTCAAGAGATTATATCAGATCATATATGACATAAGAACCTCTCAAGAGTATATTTTCATTTCTCTCCTCCTGACCTGTGAGGCATTGTTACTATGTATTTTACTAATGCATGTAATATACTCCCCCAAACATCATCATTATTTTTTAGTTAGTCAATTACTTTCAAAGATAATTTAGTAATGAATTAAAAATACCATGTACTTATCAACATAGTTACTATTTCTTATGTTTTTAATTCCTTTCTGGAGAGACTTTTTGAACTGGTATCATTTTCCTCTTCCTAAAGTTCTTCCTGGTGAGGAATTCTTTCAGCTTTGTTATGTGTTAAACATCTTTATTTCATCTTTGGTTTGGAAGATACTTTTTAGTGGGTATAAAGTCTAGGATAGTAGTTTTGTGTGTGTGTGTGTGTGTGTGTGTGTGTGTGTGTGTGTGTGTTTCCCCCTTTCAGAACTTAAAAAACGTTGCACTGTCTTCTGACTTACATTGTTTCTGATTAGAAATCTGCCGTAATTTTTATTTTCACTCTTTGGTATGCAATGGTTCTTTATCTCTGCCTGCTATTAATATTCTGTCCTTATAAACGGTCTCAAGTATATTTTTATTTGTATAAGTTTAAGAAATACAAGTGCAGTTTTGTTACATGGATATATCATGTAGTGGTGAAATCTGGGTTTTTAGTGTAATTATCAGCTGTATAATATACATTGTACCCAGTTTTGAAAAAATTTGTTTTTTGTGTGTTGATGTTGTTTCCTTCATGTTTTTCATAATTTTCTTTGATCCACTGGTTTGTAATTTACACCAGTTTAGACATTTTTGATCCATTTCTTCACATATATTTTTGTGTTCCTCTTCCTATGGGGTCTTCAAAGACAAGCAAATTAGCTTTCTTGTAGTTGTGTCACAGCTTACTGATATTCTTTGTGTTTTTAAAGTTATTTTTCTCTCTGTTTCATTTTGAAAAGTTTGGGCTATGTCTTCAAGTTCATTCTTTTTTTCCTTCTGCAATGTCTAATCTGCTGTTAACTATATTAAGTGTATTTTTTATTTATGACATTCTAGTTTTTCATCTCTAGAAGTTCAATTTGGGTTTTTTCCTATATGGATAGAGCATCTCAAGTTTGAAAATCTAAAATACTCTGACTTTGAAACTTTTTGATTGTCAACATGATGCTCAAAGAAAACACTCATTGGAGAATTTAATATTTTGGATTTATTTTTGAATTTTGGATGCTCAACTTGTAAGCATAACGAACTATGTCAAAAATCCAAAAAAATATTCAAAATTGGAACCACTTTTGATCGCAAGCATTGGTGATAAAAAAAAATACTCAACTTGTATATGCTATGCCTCTACTGATATTTTTGAACAAATGGAATACAGGTTTAAGAAATATTTCAATGTTTTTGTCTGCTGTTGTAACATCTGTGTCAGTTCTTTGGTATTGATTGATTATTCTCTTCGTTATAGGTTGTATTTTCCTGCTTCTTTGTACACTTCAAAATCTTTGAGTTAGTCAAATACTGTGGATTTGGATTTTTAGCTGCTTGATAATTTTGTGTTTCTATAAATGTTCTTGAGCTTTCTTCTGTCATGGAGTTAAGTTAAGTTTATTTGGAAAGAGTTTCTTTTCAGGTCTTGCTCAATGAATACAAATTATTTCCTACTGTGAGGCAAGACATTCCTGACTACTCTACCCTATATCCCTTCAATTGTAAGTTTTTTCAATCTGGTTGGTGGAAGCAAGCCAATTCCCAGTCCTGCAGGAGTACTGGGAATTATTTTCTCTAATCCTAAAAATGGATAGTTGACTGGCATCTGACTAGTTTGCTGCCACACATGTGCTGACCAGTATTCTGCTGAATATTCAAGGTGGCTTTCCATATCTCTGGAATTCTATCTCTGCAGCTTTCTGTTCACTGGTATGCTATTCCACAAAACCAATTTTCCTGGATCTTCTGATTCTTAGTCATTTCTTCAACTTAGAGAGTCCACTGGGCTCTATCTGAATGTCGCTTGCCTGTGACACATATGGAAATCCTTCAAGGCAATAAGCCGAGGCATCTGTAAGCTTCCATCTTTTTTATTTTTGTCTCTCAGGGATCACTGTCTTTTATTGCTTCATATTCAGTGTCTTGAAAAATGTTGTTTAATAAATTTTGTCTGAGTTTTTTAATGTTTCAGTTGGGATGGCAAATCTGATCTCTGTTACTCCAACTTTACCAGAATGTAAATGTAATGTGAGAATGGAATAACAAAATAACAGAAGCATAGTGCTTACCTCAGAATTTGCCTTAATACTCAAAACACATGGGATAGTATTAACATTATTATGATTATTATCAGATCACTTTATAGGTAGTTCCCTATGGTAAACATTTTTTGGTTCCAACACACTCCAGTCCTGTTTAGAACCAAGAAAAAAACTCCAGGACTTTTGTCTTCACTAAGAACACAGGTGATGCAGAGCAGCTTATTTCTACTCTGTGATAAGTTAAATGTGTTCCTTATGAATTAAGAGGCAATGTGGTAAACACGGGAAGTTTGGAGAAGATGTACACATGAAGCATACATGGCACAGGGCACAGCCAAGTGAAACATCCTTTCCAACTTAGAATCACGAAAACAGATTTCTATTCTAACACTTAATTTGTATCAAATAACATATCATTTATCTACAAATCAATCAAAATTGTTTCCTTAGTTTTCTACATTTTTCTAAAGGAAAAAAAGGCATTAGAAAGCAACAGTGCTTTTAGGAATTGCCACACTGCTTTCCACAGAGGTTGCACTAGTTTGCACTCCCACCAACAGTGTAGAAGTGTTCCCTTTTCGCCACACCCTCTCCAGTAACTGTTATTTTTGAGTTATTGATAATTGCCATTCTGACTGGAGTTACGTGGTATCTCAGTGTGGTTTTGATTTGCATCTCCCTGATGATTAGCAAGGTTGAACATTTCTTCATGTGTCTGTTGGCTGCTCGGATGTCTTTCTTTGAGAAGTGTCTGTTTATATTTTTTGCTCATTTTATAATGGGGTTGTTTGTTTTTTTTCTTTTCAGCACGTTTGAGTTCCTTGTAGATCCAAGATGTTAAGCCTTTGTCAGATCTCCTAAAAGCTCTAAATATCAACCTCCCATATGACCCTGCAATCCCCCTGCTGGGAATATACCCTGAAGAACTCAAATCACTCTATATAAAAGATACCTGCACACCTATGTTTATCGCAGCATTGTTCACAATAGCAAGAACCTGGAAGCAACCATGCTGTCCATCAAAAGAGGACTGGATTTAAAAATGTGGG